TTGACATAACTGAACTATGGAATCATTTGATATCTACTAGAGCTCAATAAAATGGTTTTGAAAAAAAAAAAAGCTTCTATGAAAATAAATAAATATTTTTAAAATTTAAAAATAAATAAATAAATAGCTGCTATGCAAAAACATCTTTGCTCTCTTTCTCTCTGGCCGCACCCAAAGCTGTATTAAAATAGAAAGATACCTGCTGCAGGACCTAAACACACTTTTAACAGATATTTTTACAAACCAGAGTAAAGATTCACGTTTTAGGCCACAGACACTCCCAGGGTCTGGCAGAGTGGCTGGCACGATAGGATAAAAGCTGGCGAACAGGAGCTGCAAAGTGACCCCACTCTTCTTCACTGGATGTCTCTGTATCTCATATGGACTTCTAAAAATACCCATCTCCCGTCAAGAGTTATTGTCAGCTAGGATCTGAACTTTCTCAATCCGTATCAGCACTGCAGGCATTCAGACAATGAACTCTGTACAGGAAGCTGAGGGAGAGAACACACTCTGCCGTACAATACCCATTCCGATAAGAGGCAAGCTGCCGGCCAGGACGGGGTGTTTCTAAAAATAAAGCAGACTCGTGGCAATGGTTCTTTGGAAAGAATGTGCTTTGTGTCAGATACACCTGTACTCGCTCTGCAACTGCTTTCTAATCCATCAGGACTGATGGTGATTAAATGAGAGAATGTACAAACAGCAACTAGCACTGCATCTACCAATGCAGTAGTACATGGCATGTCTTTCCAAGCCATTCCAAAGATGCCCAACAACCTCGAGGGGGCAGAAGCAACACAACTCACCCCTATATCCCTCAGGTTTGTTTGTGGAACACGCCCAGAAGAGCATCCTCGTGTTAATGAGTGAAATCACGTCTGGCGCACAGAGGGTGTTGCTGTGGAGAGGGAGGAAAAGGACATGAAAGCAACTTGCTGACTACAATCATCAGAGAAGATCTGAGGGGAGAGAGCAAAGAATCAATTCCACTCACCGACAGAACTCGTCAGAGTCCTGGTGGTCATCGCCGTGAAGATAAACCAAAAGGAAGCGCAGCTCCCGCTTGGCATCATTAAGTGCCTGTGAGAAACAGAAGACAATTCATTATGAGGACTTTCCCCTGAGTTTTTAATTAGGGTGAGGTCCTAATGGATCCAGATGAGTGTTTAGGAACAAACACAAAGGAAAACACACACACACACACACACACACACACACACACACACACACACACACACACACACACACACACACACACACACACACACACACACACGAGAAGGGGAAAAGGCAAGCAAGAAACCAGAAAATTCCCAGGTTCTACCTTCGCACTCCCAGCATTTTTCTTCTTCTAGAAACGCTCCCTAATACGCTTTGATGAAAAGAGTTTTCGTACTGTTTCAGGATTGAAATGGCACCAGGCCCATGAGAGTAGATAGGTGACAAACATTGGTCCAAGAGACCACGGAGAAGTCAGTTTCCACAGTCTGACGGGAGAAACACCAAACAAAGCTGGAGAACCTGACCGCATGGAAGGGGTGCGTGAGTGTGAGGCAATCTTGCCACGTCAGAGCACGGGGAAGCGGAATCTGACACCGGGCCCCATGGATCAGGTGGGGCTTAGGGACTGTAGGACTCAATGGCATTTTCAGGAGCCGCAGCCTTTCCAGATCTTCAAAGATAAGGCCAGTGTTTTATGCATGCTTTTGTGTGTGCATAATCCCGAGCGCAGTTCTCTTCGGTGAAGAGTCCCTGACATTAAGGAATACAGCCAAGGCGGTGCATGAGAGTTCCCCATCTATTTCTCTGTGTTTCTAGCACGGAGCACAGTGCCGGACATATACATACCTCCCCACCCCACCACTGAGTCCATGCCAACTCGGCAACCCTATAGAGGGTTTCTCAGACTGCAAATCTTCACCTGAATAGACAGCTTCATCTTTCTCCTGAGGAGAGGCGGGAGGATTTGAAGTGCTAATCCTGCAGTTATCGACACAATGCTTTGGGGCATATAAAACTCAATGCCAATGAGTCTATTCTGACTCAGCAACTGGAAAGGCCAGGCAGGACTACCCCCTTTGGATTTCCAAAACGAAATCTTTGCTGAGGTAGAAAGCCTCCTCTTTCTCTCTTGGAGCAACTGGTAGTTTTAAACTGCTGACCCTATGGTTAGCCACTAGGGCTTCTATAAGGCATACAGTCGGTGCTTAATGTTTGCTGAATGGAATGGGAGTATCTAGTGAGGAGATTATGAGCCAAAGTAGCTGAGGGAAAATCAAAACAGGAAGGTTAAAATTACTTTCTTGAGATACTTCTACATTTTATTTTTCTTTGGCAAACTAGCACAATGGGCTCTAATCCCACTCCCCAACCCCCGGTCAGCAAGAATTAACAGTAACATCCAAGGTGTGGGTGGCTTCAGTTGATTAGCTCAGCCTCTGGCTTATGTCCTCATTCAATACTGTGTGGGAAGACGACTTTGGCCTTACCGTCAAGGGCATACAGCTCTGGTAACTGAGCCAAGGCATACATACAAACAAGTATAATACAAAAATAGATCATGTGAAATTGTGATAAGCTAAAAGCAAGAAAAGCTATAGGAGAACAAATGAAGATGATGGTTTGAGATTGTGAGGTAGGATACGGCATAACAACCAGGCAAGGCTTGGCGGGGTGGGGGGTAGCGACACGATCTGGCTGAAGAATGGGCAACATTCTAATCTGCAAAACAGTGAGGAAGACATCCAGGTGGAGGGAAGAGCAAAAGCAAAGCCAGTGAGGTGGGACGTGACAGTGTGCAAGGGAATCATTTAGCCGGAACCTGGGGTATGGGGACAGGTCATGCAAGAAACGGCATTTTAGGAAGGTTGGGGTTAGATCAAGGAGGGCCCTCCTAAAAGGCTTGGTCTTTCTTTTATCACTACAAGCAGTGGAGAGCTCCTGGAGACCTTTGTGAAGTGAAAGGACGCCATGATTACTACAGGCTCTGCTGTCCTCTGAGATGAGATCACATCAACAGACTAGCACCTGCATGGTTTGTGGCACTGACCTGGCTGTACGTTCCCTGGTAGAAGACAGGGTGTGCCCGCCCATATTTCTCTTCAAAAGAATGCATAAATGAAACAATGTCCCCAACGGGGTCAGTGACCCGGCTGCGAGGGTCAGGCCGTATAAAACGCAGAGCAAACCTGGGGAGGAAGGAATAAATATCACATGAATCCTGCGAGCGTATCCACTTGTACAGATTTCTGGAACAGGCCAGAGGCATGGCAGCCACAGGAGGAGGGACTTGCAGTGGACAACAACCCCAAGGGTGGCATCTGGCTCAAAAGCTGCAGAGCAGCAAGTTGTCATTCCACTGCCTGTTCTAGAAACCACGAGGAAGACAAATGCCATCCCGAGTGCTTTATACAGAAAAATTTAGTGCTGGAAAATCTGGAAAAGGATGATAGCATCCAAAAAATCATGGGCCAGGCTTTGCCTCCATACTCTCTAGAACGGCAGGGCGTCACATGGCTGGCCACGTATGCTTATCTAATTTAAATGAATTAGATTCAGCTCCTCACTCCCACTAAGCTGTATTGTAAGTACTCAATAGCCACAGGATTAGTGGCTTCTGTAATGGCCACCACAGATCTAGAACATTCTCTTTATCTCAGATATTCTACTGGATAGCACGGCTCCAGAACAAAGATCAGTCCCTCTCCCTTTATGCACTCATGGGATTTTGATTTTTTTTTTCTTGTTCATATTCCCAAGCTATTTGAATTATGGATAGTAATAGCAAACTTGAACTTGTAGACAGGATTCACTTGCTTTTCAAAGGGGCAAGTAAAATCCGCTTGAGGATTTATGGTTCATGGACGCCATGGGGGGGGTGGGAGTTATAAAACCAGTCCAGCGAATGTCTGGCTGATTTGCAGTCCTGGGAACTACTGTAAGGTTGTGTGCCGGGAGGTATCACACATCTTCTAGAAGCTCATCCTCCTGTCATTCTTGGAGCTTCATTTTGGATGCTTTGGGTTTCCACAGGAGGCAGTGAAGACAGAAGGCCTGATAAGTCAGTGGGCTGTCGTTGTGCACGGTCAAGCTAATTCTGACTCAAAGTGGCCCTCAGAGTCCAAAGTAGAGCTGCCCTTGTGGGTTTGCAGGGCTGTAAACTTGATGGGGGCAGAAGGCCTGGTCTTTCTCCCTCGGAGCAGCTTGGGGTGGCTTTGAGCGGCTGACCTTGTGATTAACAGCCCATTGCATAACTCTATGCCCCTAAAGCTCCTTAGTCAGTGTGCCACAGGATATTAAACAAGTTGCCTGAACGACAGAGCTGCATTAAAATTAGTAACACATGCCACGCATATTTTTCTAAGGAAAGCAAACAACATTCATTTACGTGAGGAATTTTCAGTACATAAAAGGTGACTAAAGTATGCTACATTTTGAGCCAAATCCTTAATCCCTCAACAAACTCCCCATGTATACACAATTCCACTTGGAATTTCTCCTGAGTAATCACATCAAGCTTATTGACATAAACATTCCAGAGAAAATTAAACCCACGAAATATAAAAAGTTATGTATGCAGGGAAGTGGTTAGGAACCTTTAAATGATTTTTGTATTATGTTAGCAGGCTCTAAATAACTTTCCAGAAGTTAAGTATTTTAGGATTATCTCGGTCAGTTTTCAAATCTTGACCCTGGATCAAGGCTTTTAACTTTTTTGTTTCTCATTACAATATCATCGGTCCTATGGCCTAGATATTTTAGGACAATCTATTTTTCTACAAAGTAAAAACAGCAAATCAATCTTCTTTATGATTTAAAAGGATCAAGTGCCATTTTTAAATAGGCAGGGACTGAAAGAATACAAATTAGTTCATTAATGACTGTTAAAAACTACACTGACAGAAGTAAAAACGTAGGCAGGCTCATAAAACCCGAAATGGTCAAGGTAAAAGGCTCTAATTTGGCTCCAGTACTTTAGCCACTGCTGGGCCCTCGTTTCCAGCCTCTGCTTGCTCATACTAAGAGGGAGGTGTAGGTTGCCACAAAAGCAGAGCCCAGAGCACATACTCTAGTTGTTTGTTGGCCCAGATGTCCCATAACACTTTGTTCCTCTTAAAACCTAGGCATGGGTTCAACTACTGCTCAGCTCTAGACCAGGCACTCCAACCCTGATGTCGCCGCCGGTCAGAAGTCACTCGGTATTTTTAGCTTACAGCGATGTGGTTTTCGAATGGTATCTAAAAGAAGCTAGAAGAAATACAAAAGTATGAAACTAGGGTTCCAGTGTCGGCAACTGATGGTTGCCAGGCAGAGTGAATGTACCACAGAGGTATCTAGAGAGGTGAAGCTGTGTGACAGGAATCTAAGGAGAGGTGGGTAATGTCAGAGGAAGGGAATGTGTTGGTATTTTGAGAATCAGGTGGTGTAGACGTGGTTTAGGGTACAAAGGATCAGGAGTGTGAAGTTAAAAGGTAATGGTGGTTAGATAGGAAAGGGTGTCCAGATTAAAGAGGGACTGTTGAGGTAACAAACCTGGCAAGGGTACTGATAGGTGTATGTAGACTGACTCTTGAAAATATAGGCAATACTAATTAAAAACAATTCCATTTTACAATACCTGTCATTATTTCTGAACCATTTTAAGTATTTTCACACTATATTAAAAGACTGAAAGTTCAGGAAGAACTTTCACTCAGACTGACAAGTGCAAATGGATAGAATATAAACCTCCCCTCCCAGTTCAAGTTCCAAAGCCTACTCTGCTGCTACTAACATAAACATCAAGGTACGTACCGAAATATATCAAGTATCGTGTAATAGGTGAACCGGAATGGAAGCATTATCAAGTAATAACCCCATCCAAGCAGCCCCTGAAATTCCAAAAGCAAAATTAGATACCTTTTCTTTCAATCGCAAACACTCGACAAAAAGGCTAGCTCAGGTTCATCTTTTCTTCCTCTGCAATAGGGCGCCCTCCTCCTGGCTGGCCCTCTCAACCTTCTAAAAGACCAACTTTTCTTGATCTTATTTGATCTAATACTATCATTGTTCTTCCTTTTTTATCACTAATTTTACTTCTTTATTACATTTGCCTTAGCACTTTTTCTGCAGCATTGTCAAATTCAGTTGCAACTTCCCTTGAAAGAATGATCCTCATTCTTTCAAGATGTATACAAAATATGGTGCCAACAAAAGAAAGGTTAGTTATTACTACCTTGGTTGTATATATATAAGTAATTATATTAACTGCAATTATGCATTACCATATAGTTGTTATCCTTAGTCATGCTAATTTTAAATGATCAATGTATGCTCTTGTACTCAGAATACTATAAAAATCATCACTCAGAATCTCTATTTTCTCAATGCTGACAAGTGCTCTATGAAAAGGTATGGTGAGGGGGGATTCTTTCCAATGCAAAGTCAAAGGAAAAGCTTTCTTGGGATTCCAAATGTATGTGAGTATAAACACAAACTCACTGTCAATGAGTCAATGCTGACTCAGAGACCTCCCTGTGAGTCTTAGAAACTGTTTATGGCAGAAGGCCCAGTCTTCCTCGAGAGGACCTGGTAGTGGATTCAAAATGCCAACCATGTGGGTTACAGCCCAATGCATAACCACTACACCACCAGAGCACCATGCCTGGGTAAAAGAAGAACAACTACAAGAAGTTCTTTGGAGTTGACTGTATAAACATCTGACTTCCTTAGTAGACTATGAGCATTCTGAGGGGAAGCCTAGCTCTCAGCAATAAAACACTAACAGGCTGGAACATTCGTAAATGCCTGTTGAATTTAACTGAACTGCTTCTCTGCTACTAGCCCTAAGACTAGTTTAAAAGACGTGGCTAAGGTAGCTCCCAAAGATTCCAAGTCCCGCATATACTCGTGTATAAGCCAAGGTTTTCAGCACATTTTTAATGCAGTTTTTGTGATAAAATTAGGTGCGTCGGCTGACATTTGGGTCGGCTTATACTCAAGTATATACAGTACTTTCTCAGAAGTAGCTTAGAATTAACTGAAGCAATAGCGAAATGGGCAAACAGATCCTAACGTAAAATTTATTTAAATATGCAGCACAGCTATTTATACAAGTAAATAAATCATCTGTGTACTCAGAAATAAAGGGACAATTTCTGAATCAATTAAGGAGACAAGGACACATAATATCTCACTAACTTTACTAAGAAGTCTGGTGTAGCTAACAAGTTTACATTCCGAGCATTCCCCCCACCCCCTTCTATTATCTGGTGATAAGCCCAAGTCAAACAAATGAACCTATAAAACAAAATGGGGGAATTTCAGCTGCAAAATAACTTGCCCTTGGTTGTGGTCTTGAGACAACATAGCTGTAGATCCTGTGATCTGCTGTATTAACCTGGAGAGGTCTCGAAGGAGGTGGGTTGAAAACACTTGGTACACCCTCTTGCTCATTTAATCTGTCTTGTACAGCAGCCTGAGATGAAAGGAAAAATAGCAAGAGTTTCAGAACTATTTCTTGGTGTTTCAAACAGTATAAACATTAATACACGGAGAGGTCACCCGAAGAGTGTATCTTCTTAGACCTTTTAATCAACACAGATTCCATAAACACATCTGCTAGAGTGGGAGGCATACTGCAGGGGCAGCTCCAGAATTCACACACCGCAGGGAGATGAAACAAGTGCCCGGAAGCATCGTTTGTGCAGCAAGTGCACTCCTCATGATTAAAGAGTAGGTGGCTGGTACAAGGTGCTTCACTGTATGAGCGTGTGAAATCCAGGCTCCTAGAATATGATGTGGAAGCTGTGCACGGGAACAGTCCTGACGGTGTAGTGTTTGAGGGAAGGCTAGGGAGAAATTTGAATCCCAATTCAGAAAAGCTTTTGGCTTATGAGCCTCAATTTCCCCCCACAATTACACTATGCAGTGGTCTGTGTTCTTAGGAAGGCCTTTTATCAGAAAGAGGGAAAATATAAGTGGCCCATGCGTTACCCTGGGCCTGTTATTGTTAGGGCCACTGCGTTGACTCTGACTCATAATGATCTCAGTGTGCAACAGGATGAAACACTGCCTGGTCTGGAACCATCCCATCACTGCTGTTGTGTTTGAGCCCATTGTTGTAGCCATGGTGTTCATCCATCTCACCGACTCTCTCCATTACCAAAGCATGATGTCCAAGGAACGGTCTCTCCTGGTAACATGCTCATGGTACAAAAGACAGAGCATTGCCATTCTTGCTTCTAAGAAGCATTCCAGCTGTACCTCTTCCAAGAGGTTTGTTCTTTTGACAGTCCACCGTACTTCCAATATTCTATGTCGATATCATAATGCAAATGCGTCAAGTATTCTCCTGTCCAGCTTTCACATGCATACGAATTGATTAAGACCATAGTTTGAGACCGGCACACCTAGTCCTGAAAGTGACATTCTTGTTTTTCTTTCTTTTCTTTTTTTTTTTACAACCTTTCCCTTTATTCTGTATGTAATTCTTGAACCCGAGGTTTTTTTGTTTGTTTGTACTTTTAAAAAAAATCAATTTATTAGGGGCTCATACAACTCTTATCACAAT